TGTAACCCTTTTATACCAAAAATATAGAATTAAGAACATAGTAATAATGAAAATAAATAGAATAATAATAATACCTTAATAATATTCATAATTTATAATAATATTATTTTAATAATATTTATGATTTTTTATTAAATAGCAGTAATAAGAAGTTGAGGCAAATACCTCGATAGCTTAGTGAATTAGTGTCTCTGGTAGACTTTAGAGTGCTAGACTTTGACTCTTTTGCCTTGTTAAAAAAATATAATAATAAAGAAGTTGAGAATTTTTTTTTTGGATGGGAGGGGGGAGGGAGCAATGTGGCAATCTATGTAAGCGAGTGTGCTGTAGGCAGGTGCAAGAGGCATTGGGCGAGTTACAGGTGCACAATTCCATATCACTTGGTGTGAAAAAAAAGAAAAGAAAAGGAAGTGCTATAAATGTGGGATTTGTACACTCTAATTGGTAATGAGGCCTTTTGGGGGTAAAATCGAAGAACAAAATCATATGGGCTCAGGTCTAAAGCATATGATACCATATACCATACCATGCGGTCTTGTGGCCAGTAGTATTTACTCTAACTTCAAAGAGAATGATGAGACAAAGTGAGTATGTTTTTTCTGCCATTGAAAAAAAATAAAATTAAATTACCATCAAAGAATTGGAAAATAAATACCATAGAAAGATGGGATAAAACCTTAATACGGCCCAATGGCTCAGGAGAAAAACAAAGATAAAAAAGACCCAAACTACAAATTAGGAAACCCTAATATTAGGAGCAACCAAACCCAATATTGTAGTTTTGACCAAGCGCCCAAATGCCCTACAACTTAATAGTGGGCAAGTCGAATATCTGGAAGGCCTACCTCCATCTAACCCAAGCTTGAGGGCGGGCCTCCAGAAACTTACACCCTTCCAATAATTACTCGGCCCAACCCAGCTCTACTCACCCCAACACGATAACATTTATTAAAAACTTCAAAAAAAATAAGTGGAAGCACTGTAGGCAAAGAAAAAAGTGCTAGAAAGGGTTTAACAAAAAAAAAAAAGTGCTAGAAAGGGACTCTATTATAAACAACTTGCTATATTCTAGGGCAACTTTGTAAATAAGTTTGTGGACGCATTTGCATTATGATTGTTTATTTTTCATTAATGACAAAGGGAGTTTGACAATTCCATCTTTAATTTTATGTGAGTTTGCACTGATACCATTATAATTTTAAAGATATTAATAACATCGTTATACTATCAGTCCCACAAAAAAGTTAGAGTTTTTCAACTACAAGACTCTCAATCTTTTTTCTTTATTTTTTATTTATATAAGAAAATAAATATGAAATAAACTCCATCGAATGGAAGTTCCATGAATTACATAGGAGACAGAATATTTAGAATATTGCAAAATGAGGTAATTTTCAAAATTTACTTTAAAAAATTTATCAAACATTCAAGATACCATCTTGAAGAAACAAAGACAAACATCATGAATTAAATTCTGAATTAATTTCCTTTCAACTTTAACTTCCAACCTTTCTTTTGACCAACATAGGGATTCAATGCTTCGTTTTTATATATAACAATTGAATAAATAGAAACTTTTTTCTTTTTCATTTGAAAGAACTTTTCATTTATTTAAACAATAAAATTGCTCTCATTGTTTAATTGAAATCAAATTTTTTCCATCAATCATTGTAATTAGAACCGTAGTGCTCCTTTCTTACATACTAGGGTGACATCAACACTGCTTTTTTCTTCCATCATTGATATCTTTTACATTCATAATTAATGTACTGTAACAATTTCATATTTTAAATCATGTTATATTAATGTCATTGTCAAGCAGTGTGAAAAAGACTTTTATTTATTTATTTATTTATTTTTTAAAAAAAAAAGACTACAGAAAGTACTATAGTCTGGTGAAATCAAATGGCCATCTGGTTTTAATTTTAGGCACTGATAAATCACTTAAGTGATCATTAGTCCCCATAGCAGTTATGAACCATCTTATGCGCAATATGCTGAAGGTAATATGCAGAGGAATAAGCTGGATATGATTTAAAATTTATCAATATATATATATATATATATATATATATATATATATATCAATGAGATTGAACAATCACAATTTTTTTATTACACTACTCGCATTTTAATTAAGTTTTCATATTATTGTATTTACGTTAAATGCCCACACGCATGCATGCAATAACGGCATGTAATCTTGCTTCTGGTACACATTTGTTTCTAATTTCAACTACACAAAAGAATTGTAGAAGGGATTGTATGGCCTCTAAATAAATATTTTTAAAACATAAATTGCATGCCACAATCTGTAGGCTTATATGCCACGATCTATAGTTCCATTATATATATACATATATAATGGAACTACAGAAATGCCTAGTGCCACTACAGCTGCTTTATCCATCTTTAAGATGAAATGCAAGTGTTGCATGCGGCCGAGCAAGAAGGGGAATCTATTTATTGTAGGGGTAGTGGTTGAGATTCTGAGAAGGATTCCATCACAAGATTCGCCCCATAGTGGAATTCCTGTGCTCATTTCTCTTGTCACACAACTTGCATGTTTCTTTTTTTAACCACACCAAAGATACAGGGGAAAGGCACAATTTTAATATTCTAAATTTAAACTACACTCAATAATAATAATAATAATAATAATAATAATAACCTGCTCGTGAAGCTCCGGTGGTGGGACGCAATCTTACCTCTGCATGCAGGGAGACTGTTTTCTTGTTTCAAATTCGTGACCTCTATGTCACACACACCCACAAATGTCAAAATATGAGACTCGATTACTTGCTTCTCTTACGCAAAGGGCATTGCAACAAAAAGATTATAAAACAGTCATTACTTTGATCAAATTTCAGTGGAACAAATTGTTTAACCTTTGGTTGCATGCATTATGGGCTCATATAATTGCGACTTTGTGATTGGACATAAAATTAGTCGTAGGCATAGCCCAAAGTTACGTTGCAAGTAGTAGAAAAGGTTGTATGAGTGAGTAATAGGGGTTTAGATGGTAGTGGGTGAGAAGGTGGGCTTCTTTTCAATTTTGTTCTTTTATGTCTCCAAGACTCTTAGAAGGCAAACTAGCCGTGAAGTGGTGGAGTGTGTAGTTGAAGTGGAAACCTATCTTTTTGACCCACAACCACCATTGGTCGCCCCTCTTGTCATTCTTTCAAATAAAAAAGCAGTCTTCAAGCTTTTAGGCACTTAAATTTATTCCCATAACAACTTTAATTTCCATATGTTCATCTCTTTTTAGTATGACATGTTTCTATTAAGACTTCATTAATTGAGAGTTGGACTTCTAACTATTAGAGAATTGTATGAGAGAGAGTGACTACGAATTTTTATTTTTTTTGTATTTGATAAAATTTTAGATTAAGATTGAGGTTGATGTCGAATCCATCAAGTAGGAGACATGCAATCAACCAGCAAGCTTATATACATCGATGTTCGTAATTGGCTTCTCTCGTGCAAGTTTCATGACAACAAAGCCTCTAGAACAATTGCTGCTGCTTGGAGTCTTCCAAGCTCTGTTTTCAGAGGCAACAATTGATCCATTTTTTGACCCAACTGTTTTTCAATGGTTGGGGGTGCAACTGGTTTTGTGTAAGCTGTGCTTCTGCTTTGGCTTCTGTTTTTGTTTTGTGCTTTTCCTCTTGGGCCTCTTTGCCTTTGTACAATAAAATACTATGTACTTTGCTAAAAAAAATTTACAATAATTAAATACTAAAAAAATAAAAAATAAAATATTGAAAAAAATATTTTATATCTAAACAACCTGAACCTGATTATTTAAAGATTTTTAAAGCTCAACTTGACAAAATTATCACACTTTGTATGAACAGTTGGTTACAATAAATTTGGATAAAGGTGATGGACCTGTGGGCTCAACTCTACTGTGACCTTTCAGCGAATCGCTTGTTGATGTTTCACCTTGCTGCAAGCCTGCAATAGACACCACCATAGTCTACCAATGCACATTGTAAACAAAATGTTGCCCTACGAATTAGAGAAATAACACACTGTCAGAAAAGAGGACCAAAACGGCATTTGCTGTTGGGCTCCATATTTGTGCATCGAATTAGAACCGTTTTGATGCAATTTGTACAAATAATGAAACTTTGGTTGGACCACCCATCTTATCACTACCTTGACTCGGGACTTCACTTGGAGGGGAGTGACACTAAATTGATCCAGCCATTTTATCCCGACTCGAGACTTCAACTGTAGTGGCGTGAAAGTAAATTAAAAAATAATTGAATTTAAATTTGATATTACTTGTACCGAACTAAAAAATTGCTCCTTGATCTAAAAAAAAAAAAATTAATATTCTTTTGAACTTTATGCTTTAAAATGTGATAAAGTACACTAAACTATATTAACATTATCAATGTGAAATTGATTTGATTTTAATTCTAATTTTAATTCACTCTACATTCAAACACATACCTAACCTAACCTAACCCAGCCCATTTTTGTCTGCGAATGAGGTTGGGATAATCTCTAATTATGTAAAAATTTCTTAATATTTTGAGAGTTTAAAACAGTGTGAATAATCTATGTATAGTAAAAATTAGGGTATTAGGATAAATGAGCTGAATTATCGTATAATCCAAAAAAAGAGGCTGCTGTTCGAATCTCAGCTCAGTACCAAAAGTAGTGTCATCGGGAATAGAAAGTCATTCAGACTCTCTCGCAATGTGTCCACCATCTGACCTTCCCAAAAAAAAAATTTGTCCGCCATCCCAATACGATTCATTCATCTGTCGTCATCCTAAACCTTCACACATTATTTTTTTATTTTTTGTGTTTTGTGTTTTTGTTTTGATGTCTAAATAAAGGGGAAATTGCTACCCATTCTAGTTTGGTATGCAAAAAGGTAAAAATGTCCGGGTCTTAAAACGGAAAGGGTAAAAGAAATCTCTCCTCAATACAAAGTGAGAAAAGAACCTTCTATACATATGTGTATATATATATATATGATGCTCTCACAACACCATATAAACATAGAGAGTTACGTTAGTTACGAAGAATGAGTGATATGATCCTAATAGTGAGTTGATAACGTGCGTTTCGAGTCGGAATCACGTAGCTGTAGCAGGATTTGCAAAGTGGGGTTTTGTGCCTCTCCACGTTTGATTATTCTCTCTCTCTCTAAAACTCTCTTTATCTGTCTGCAGAGCTGTGGGAGGAGGAGGAAGGTTAGTGGAAGGTGAGTTGATTGTACATGTTGTACCAGAAATACATAAGCATCATATTCGTATTCATATTCTCTTCTCACCACAAAATTCAGATTCATTCTCACTTTATATACATATATAGATGCATATATATATATATACACACACATACCTATGTTTGGTGTTCTATACATATCCCCAAACATTGGGATTTGGTGGATCGCAAAAGTTTTGGGAGGAAAAAGAAGGACAGAGAGAGAGAGGAATTGATTCTGATTCTATATGTGGTTTGGCTATATATTCGTAGATTGCGAGTTACATCTTGGATCTACCCGTTGCCGGAAGTCAAGACTCATCCGAATTTGCTGTGCCCCTTCTCAATTTCTCGGTATGATTGCTCTTTCATTATCAATTTCTTTCTTTCTTTTTTTTTTTCTTCCTAGTTGGTACTTGGTAGTACTCTTCTTTATGAAATTCGATGATACTTTTATTTTACTAGCATCTAATTTTCTCCTCTTATACAGTATGCATTTGTAATTTGGAGTTTATAAATTGGGTAAGGATTTTTTATACAAGGTTTTCTATCTTCATGACCCTGTTTTTGGGTCAAACGTACACATTTCCAAATGAGTGACTGACGACAAAGTCTTCGGATTTTGACTCCTCATCAGTGCTCACGCCCACACACCCATACTGCTGGCTCGCTTAATTTTCTTCTGTGGGCCGTTGGCCCAATAGTGTTCTTTCGTTTTTTAATATCTAAATAAATGTTAAAACAAAATTATTTTTGTATTTTTGTATTTTTTTTTTCATTTTTCTCTTCTCAAAGAAATGAGCCAAGCATGCCCCCAATGTCTTTCACTATTTTTTGGATTATAAACTTTTTTTTTTTTTTTTTTTTTTTTTTTTTCATGATTATAACTTGTTACTTAGTCCCCTATAGTGACAAAGGGGGTGTGAGTAAAAAATAAATATATGTATTAAAAAACTCAAGAGTACTTTAGATTTTTTTTTCAAATATATGCTTAAAACTCAAGTGGTGGAAGATATTTTGGTCCATTAGGCCCACCAACTGAGAGGTTTACAGACAGTTGAGTCCAATATGCAAAGTAGAGTGCCCACATATGGCACTACTTATATCATCGTCTTTCTTAGGTAGTTATATGGGGTCCATCAAAGTTAAGTCTGATCTTGCTGTTCTAAGTGTTCTTTAATTTCTATATGTATTGTCAATTTGTCAGGTTATATATATATATATATATATTCAGGCCACAGTGACCATTCCCTAATTTTAAACTAGGTTAGACTGTATCAGGCTCCAGATTCTAGTGTCATAAGTTTAATCGATAACGTTGGGGAAATATTTAATTCATGCAATGCCAAAAGTTCAAAATTTCAGCCTGACAACTTGGTTTTAAGAAAGTTTGGCAGTAATAAAATAATGAGTCAATATCCAAAATTGAGACGGATGTTGGGGATCCAGTGACACAGATCAGATACGTTCAATTATAGCAAATATTATAGTACTTGTAATTTACTCAAACCTCAATGCATGATAATAAATAGTTAAATTGGCTCCAAACCAAATCATTAGCTTGTTAAATTTAAGGTCAAACACCGGAAAACTATGGTTAATTATCGATGTTAATCAAGATTTTGGGTTTAGGAATTAGTAATATATCTTTCATGTCTCTATAACGGGCAAATTTGCTATATGGGTTAATAGTTTAAATCTGTTAACCTGCGCTGCTTCAATTTTCAAATCTAGGACAATTACCCCGACACGCTTTATTTTAAGGTTATTTTATTTGATAATCGTGAAACTGCACATACTCAGCATATGATGGTTTTCTAGTTTCACATATAAGACAATAATAGATTTAAAGTAAAATCTAATTGCTAAGTTAACAATTTTGGTCTGGACAAGAAACCAAGTATATTATGTCTGCTTAAATCTTGAAAGAACATTGTAGGCTTTCAATTGATTTTCATTTACTGCAAAATTTTCTTCTTTGTGTGGTTCCCTTGCACGGTTCTCCAGTTTATATGAGATCGAGTGGCAATTGTCTTCTACATCTGTTTTGTTTTTGGTTTCTCATAAGAAAATCTGTTCAGATCATATTATCTACCTTTGTTTTGCATTACAGAGTGAGATAACTGATCTCCTCTTTTTGCTCCTTGGCAGCTCTTTGAACAATCATGAACGCGTTAGCTGCAACGAACAGAAACTTTAAGCTGGCAGCTCGGCTTTTGGGGTTGGACTCAAAGCTTGAACAGAGTTTACTTATCCCATTTAGGGAAATCAAGGTTATTAATTGTCGCCTGTTGGATATGATCTTAATTTCAACTCATCTATTGACTTGGCATTTTATTAGCTTAATGCATTGGTGCTTTTCAAGAAATAACTTTTCTTTGTCAATTTGCTCTCTGCACATTTGATTTTGTTTTGTCCTTTTTGTGATAATTTGGATGCTGTTGGCTGGAAGTTTTTATATTCTGGAATTTCTGGATTGATTACGATTGCCTTCAAAAACTCCTCAATATTTGCACTTTAGTTCCATACCGTCCAGAATTCACAACTTAGTATTTAAACATCACTTGTATTTCAGTCACTAAATTTAGGAAGTCAAGGAAAAATGTATAGCATTTTAGCCAATAAGAATTAGAATCTACCAATTACTTGCTCCTCCGTAATCCATCTAGACAAGTTTGACTTAGTTGACTTCTGAACTACAAATTAGATAATATCAATCCTAATGAATTCAGTATTGCACCATGAGAGTGTGAATTACTAACGTATTTGTTGCCTTAGCTCTCTGTTGAGAAATGTAGGGCATTCTGACCTGTATAAGTTGTGGATTTTCATAATTCGTTTCACTTTATTTATATGATTTCTCATTTGATTAACTCTGCTCCTTCCACTGCCTCACAAAATTGCAGGTTGAGTGTACCATACCAAAAGATGATGGCACTTTAGCATCTTTTGTTGGATTCAGAGTTCAACATGACAATGCCAGAGGCCCCATGAAGGGAGGAATCAGATACCACCCAGAGGTTCACTTCTTAGTACTTGAAAGCTGAAACCTTTACAAAAATGGGAAAATCAGAACTTTACTATCATGGTTAAAAGGGGCAATTATATATACGTATATATAATAAGATTTAAAATAGCAGTAATATTTTACAATAAGTCAAATTACTTGGGAGTCAAACCATAAGCAGCCTTTCTTAACATGCAACTGAAATTCATCTTTTTATGTTATTTCATTTCTTCTAATTAATGGTTTGGAGTATGCATATTTTTGTCTCACATGATTTTGCAGAGTGAATAACTTTGTAAGAGTCTAGAGCATGTTCTCCAGTTTTTTCCTCGTCCACCGTGGATGATGATATGTAGTTGTATTTGTAACCCTACTTTAAATGTCAGTTGAAATAGTCACATTGAATGTAGGTTGACCCAGATGAGGTGAATGCTTTAGCTCAACTTATGACATGGAAGACAGCAGTAGCCAATATACCGTATGGTGGGGCAAAAGGTGGGATAGGATGTGCTCCAGGTGAATTAAGCATCTCTGAGCTAGAACGACTTACAAGAGTTTTCACCCAGAAGATACATGATCTAATTGGAGTCCACACTGATGTTCCAGCACCTGATATGGGAACAAATCCACAGGTATGCAAAAAATGTCCATTTCAATTCACAGGAGATTGGTTAAGTACTGGTTCTATTGTGTTGAGAATCATACCACTTACTAGTGCTACAGAAAAGTGGTTACATGTTTGCCTTGAAGTCTCAAAAAACTTGAACTTGTTTCTGCTTGCTTTGTGATAAACAGACGATGGCATGGATACTAGATGAATACTCAAAGTTTCATGGATACTCGCCTGCAGTGGTAACCGGAAAACCTATCGTAAGTATAAATGGTGACCCATCTCTACATTATCATGACCGACCATAAATACAGGTCTTGAAATTGTCATCTTGTTTTCTTGTTTTTTATCACTTGTTCTGGTCATATAAATACACCTTTTTTATCTATTTGATATGCCATTTTGGAATTGTTCATCTTATAATCGTTAACGCCTTTGTTCTATGATATTTTCATGGCTGTTTGATAAATCCAAACATGTATTCTCTAAATACCATAATATAATGCTAAAAAAGAAAAGATAATGTTGGCATATCACCCAGTATAAGTTTTATTCTTTTACATTCATAGGGCAATATTGATAATTAAAAACTATGATTTATTCTGCTTCCATAGAATTTCTTCCTGTATTTGACAGATACAAACTCTTACCATCAGGATCTTGGTGGATCCCTAGGAAGAGATGCAGCTACAGGAAGGGGAGTACTTTTTGCAACAGAGGCCCTGCTTCATGAGCATGGAAAGAGCATTGCTGGACAACGGTTTGTCATACAGGTGCACCTATCATATGACTATTACTAGCAAATTTGAAGCTTAATTTGACGTAGTCCATGCACAAATAGTAAAATAGGTTGCAACTTGATGGATATAGCGACCTAGAGAAAGGCTTTGCATAAAGAAATTATCATGTTACTTTTTGGGAGTGTCTAAAAGAAAAGATCATGATTGCATGGGTGATTGGAGAAGGGAGGAAAGCTTGAATATAAAGGAAAACTAATGTAACTGTTTTTCATCAATCATATGTCCTATAATAATGGTTATTCTTTAATCTCAGGGATTCGGGAATGTTGGTTCATGGGCTGCTCAACTCATCAGTGAGAAGGGTGGGAAAATTGTTGCAGTAAGTGACATAACTGGAGCCTTGAAGAACAACAATGGAATTGACATTCCAACCCTACTCATGCACGTCAAAGAAAATCGTGGGGTTAGAGGTTTTGCAGGTGGAGATCCAATCGATCCTAATTCAATATTGGTTGAAGACTGTGACATTCTTATCCCAGCAGCCCTTGGGGGTGTGATCAACAGGTTCATTTTAATGATCATCTGCATCTTAGAGTCTCCTTATTTAATTTTTATTTTTTTAGTTCTACGCTCATGAGCTACTTATCCAAATTGGAAAGGGAAAATTTGGGAACAGAATTCCCTTTTAGCACGGGAATGTTGGGACAAAATTTTAAGGAATGCAAGGGCAGAAAAAAATAATAATGAAAGGAAAATGAACACAATCACCCCTGTGAAAATAAGTTTAACTTCTCAAGAAGCAAATATATCAATCAAGGAAAACATGAGTATGTGCTATTTTTTTTTATATGTATATTTTTTTTCCGCTGTGGCAATTCAGATCCTAGTTAGAAAGTGCTTGAAAAATTTTGTAGGCTCATATGTATTTTTTTTACTTGGCTATTCAATATCCTTAATCTTAGGAAATGGACAATGCAAAAAGAGTGAACTCTTGTCATAGTCATGGTTTTATTATTAAGTTTTACCGAAATGTTCTCTTTGTTTGATTGAAGGGAAAATGCAAACGATATCAAAGCCAAGTTTATCATTGAGGCAGCTAATCATCCAACTGATCCAGAGGCTGATGAGGTAAGTGCATGCTTGAAGGTTAGAGTCACAGGACAAAAAATAAACAGAGTAGCATCAACCATTGTCTACTTTTGCAGATCCTATCCAAGAAAGGTGTTGTTATCCTTCCAGACATATATGCAAACTCTGGTGGAGTTACTGTTAGTTATTTTGAGTGGGTTCAGGTATCATTTTAATCTCTTCGCTTCACATGGTCACAACAGTTGAATAATTGGATGAAAAAAAAAAAAAAGAAAAAAGTGGGGAAACTTCTTTTGAACATTTGTAAATCAAAAGACTTGAAGTGATGTACAACAATATGATTTGGCATATCTAACTTGTTTTACTATATTCCTCCCATCAATTTTTTCCTACCATAGCCACAACACTAGTGTTTTTTGTCCCCTTACGAAACAAGGTATTTTACTCTAATATTGAAAGGTATTTTTTAGATTTAACCAGCATAATTAATTTTGATAAAATGCCTATCAAGTTGATATGTTTATAAGATCAATTGTTATTTTGTGCTTCACAGAACATCCAAGGCTTCATGTGGGACGAGGAGAAAGTGAACGACGAGCTGAAAACCTACATGACTAGAGGTTTTAAAGATGTGAAGGAGATGTGCAAGACCCATAACTGTGATCTCCGTATGGGAGCCTTCACCCTTGGAGTTAATCGCGTTGCCCGCGCAACAGTTCTAAGAGGTTGGGAAGCATAAAATGAGGGTGCTTGAATAAAGTTGAGGCTTAGGGAAAGCCTCTAAATTCTTGACTAGGGTTTAATTTAACTCTTGCATGAGAGCTTTAACAAGAGGTTGTTATTATTATTATGTTCAGACTTTATTAAATTTTCAGCCTCTCAGTTCTAATAGTTCTGCATTTTTCAATGGTTTGCTTAAACAATGGGATTCTCGCTAAAGGAATCTTTCTTTAGTTGATTATGCTGGACGAGCCTATTAAATTACTCATCGAGTTATATTTTTTATTATTATTATTTTTTTTTATACGAACTTTTCAAGGTCTGTGATATTCAAGAAAAACTGCTTGGTGTTAATAGTAGAAAGAACGATTTTCAACCGCCCATATAAAACGTCCTGAAATGGAAATAGCGTTTTTTAAAAATAAGTAAATAAATAAATAAAATTATTTGAAAGGGTAAATGGAAATAGTGTTGTTAAACTCCCCCAACCATTGTAGCCGTATAGACTGTTTGGATTTAAAATTTGCCCAATCCGCAAAGACAACATGCTTCTTAAGAGGTCAACTTCAAGGGCTCGATTAAAAGCCCAAAAGAAGGGGATAAGGATAGCCCCCAAATGTTGTAAGCTGATGATGGACCTTGGGATTATGTCTTGGTTTTGAGGTCGCATAGGCATGTCCTAGGAAGCCCAACCCACTCGATTTCGAGATTCACGGGCGCTACTTTGCTATTATATTCTTTCTGGAACCCAAATTACATGGAAAGGTGTTTCAATTTATAAGTCATTCTGCATTTGGTTGGACAGTCTAGATTCACGGGTGATTCACCAAGTCAGAGCTGTATGGACCAAAACAAACCATTACAATTTAATGGGTTCGGATTGCAGCTGCAGTGGGATAATCAACGGATTTTTTAAAATAATCAATCTGCGGATTTTATGATGTACAATAAAAATATCATATTTTCTTCCTCTCATAAAAAGTGTCCACCTCCTTATTTTTGACTCTTCCTAAATAATTGTCTCAATTCAAAATTTAATTACTATTTTTTAATAATTCTAATTGACTCTCTTTGTCTTGAAGTTATAAAAACACATGGTATATTTGAAAATTCATTCCCTACCCATTATAATAAAAATTAAAAAAATAAAAATAAAAATTATAGTCTTAAAAAATTTGGTTCCTAAAAAAGGGACAAATTTGGTAGGACAAAGGTAGTAAGTAATGTGAAACAATTTTCTATATAAATTACTTTTGGAAGCAATTTGTAGTATTAGAATATTGAATTACTTCATATATAAAAATATAAATATAAAATTTTTTTATCATAAAATTTTTTTTCTTTTCTTAATTTTTTTCCCCTTAATATTTAAGTATTTCTTTATTTTTCATATTAATGAAAAAAAAAAATGAAGAAGAAGAAAAAGAACAAGCAAATATGAATTTCAATGCAATTTTTCTCATCTTCTCTTTTCTGTTTCTTTACCCAAAATTTACAACCTAATTTTTGACTTTTATATGTATGGATAATTATTTATTCCTTATGCTTCCTTTGATACAATTTTATGCAAGTATATATCATGTATACAATCGTCCATTCTCCTGGATCCAGCACCATTTTAAGTTGAATTTGCATATTTCAGGTTTACGCTCTAATTACCTTTCGAATAATTGGTGTTTGGAGGTTACTCTCTTGAAAGTGACTGAAGCTCCAGACATGGAAAAACTCGGAAATTATTTTTTTTCACTTTTTACTTGTAGGTGCATAAAATCTTGGACCGAACATTCAATCAGAAAAGCTGCTCGTTAATAAAAAAAATATATATTCAAAAGAAAGAAGCAGAGTAAAACGGCTTGATTTTATTTGGGTCTTTCGCCTATATTTATATTTGCATACGAAACCGTTGAGGTGCCTTTTTTTTTTTTTTTTTTTCTTCTTCCTACTTAAAGTACATGTATCGGCCCACAACCATTTAAGTTAAGAGTGTGGTTCTAATTCCTGCCAACGCCGGTATACCCTAAGCCCTTGTTTAGGAGCCTTCTAAGGACTTTCCGATTGTAATATGGTTCCTGATATGTTACATTTTTTCTCACTTGTGTGTTGTTCTTCATCGTGCTGGTCAAGGTTTTATTCTGGATCTTGTGGGCTGTGTAATTGCTTCTGGGCCTTTTTGGCGCATAAAGTCTCCTTTTATTCATTGAGCTTAGGGGTGCACAAAAGAATCATGGAACCGAAACCGGAACGGAAATTCCGGTTCTCACGGTTCCGGTTCCTAAAATGAGGAACCGTTGAGTTTCGGTTCGGTTCCGGTTCCGATCTCACGGTTTGGTTCTGGAACCGGAATCGTAATATATATATATATATATATATATTATTATATTATTATATTATTAGTAATATAATATATAATATTATATATAATGTTATATATTATATTTTATTATTTGATTATATTTTATTTTTAGGGCAAATCAATGAGGCTCAGCCTCCCCAATCGTCTCCCATCTCTATTCTCTCGACTCTGAACTTTCCCCCTCTCTCTACAACTACAAAATCTACAAGAATCAAAAGTTCAAAACCCGTATATTTCAGATCTGTCTGCAAGAATCAAAAGTTCAAAACCCATATCGGCATATAATTTTAGATTGTTCAAAAAACCAAAACTCATATCTTTCAGTTTCCATCGCCCGTTGTTCCAGTTCGGGTTCGCAGTTCGCAAGCTTCAGCCGAACTATTCATCAGATCTGAGTTAGTATAAATCTTTCTCTCCGTCTCTATGTTTTCTCTCTTTGTTTAGATTTTTATGTTAATTTATTTTTCGGTTATTGTTGTTGATGTTATTAGCACCTAAGGTTTGTGTGTTATTTTGTTTTTTTTTCCTTTTCTTCTTTTTTAATCTGAAATTATGGAGATGGAGTGCTTTTTAAATCTGAAATTATGGAGATGGTGTGTTCAAAAAATCAAAACCCATAACTTTCAGTTTCCATCGCCTGCTGTTCCAGTTCGGGTTCGCAAGGTTCAGCCGACAGCCGCTGTCTCTTAAGAACGTTCGAATCCATACGGTTCCAGTTCCATTTTTAAGGAACCGTTGTGAACGGTTCCGATTCCGACCGAAACCGTAAGGAACCGAACCATATACATTCCTAATTGAGCTGGTCCAGAAGTTGGACTTCTACTTTCCGGGATATCCTTTTTAATATGAGGTGCATGCGTGTAGCTTCGCTGGTGGGAAAATTTCCCTCCACATTATCCTAGGTTAATGATTATTATATGAGTTCTATTCTGTAAATATAATACAAAAGGGATGACCCTTTCTTGTTAACTTCTAAATGCCTCGACAAAGAGGAGTTATGAATGCCTCGACAAAGAGAATGTAAAGAAAACGATAGAATAAACATCATTACCCTATGGTAGTTGCATTTTTTTCAATAGTAATCCATGTAAAGACTATCTTAAAGTCGTATGGTCTTCCTACATACAGGTGGTATCAGTCCAATATGGCTTCAAGATATAACCCATATCCGCCAGAGGTCTTCTTTAGGCACGTCCAAAGAGGGACAAGTTTGTACCAGCCCTTGTCTTCAAAGTTGTCCCAAACATAGCATAAAAATAATGCCTCGCATGTATATGATAGTTAAGAATAAGAAGAAAAAATAGAGATTTTGTAAAATAGAGTCACGATGGATTACAAATGACTAAGGTGTTGTTTGATAAAATTGAAAATTTTAAGATCTGAAACTTAAGTACTGAAATTTTTAAGTGGTAATTTAAAACTAAGGTGCTGTTTGATAAAACTGAAAATTAAGCACTGAAAATTTTAAGTACTGAATTTTAATTGCTGAAACTTTAAGCACTGAATGTATTAATTTGAAACCCTATTTAATAACATTTTAATTTTAAGTGCTGAATTCATTAAGATTGTTTGTTATATACAAAAGCTGAAGTCTGAAAGTTGTATATATTATATTTTTGCCCTCAATATCTGATACTCATAACAGTTTTATATTTATAATACAAAAATATTAATAAAACAATCACATTCACTCAATGAAATAAATAAATATGAAAATTTAAAATATATGGATTTTGTATTACATAATATTTATGTATGGTATCGAAAAGGGTGTTGCAAAGATTAAAGAAAGTAAAATTTAAAATATATGAGTTTTGGATTGAATAATATTAAGGTAGGGTATTGAAAAGGGTGTTACAAAGATTAAAGAAAATATTTGAAAAATAATTCTTATTTAGGAATAAAATTCTATTATATAAATAATTGATGGAAATTTTAAATCTATTGGTTTTGGATTCCATAATATTTTATGTAGGTATAGTGTTAGAGAAATTAAAGAAAGTAAAATTTAAAATATATGTGTTTTGAATTATATAATATTTATATTAAAAAATGTGTTACAAAAATTAAGGAAAGTGGAAAAGAATTTTTATCTAGAAACATAATTCTATTATATAAATAATTAATGAAAATTTAAAATATATAGGTTTTGGATATCAAAAAGTATGTTACAAAAGATTAAAGAAAGTAAAATTTAAAATATATGGGTTTTGGATTACATGGTAGGGTATTGAAAAAAGTGTTAAGAAAATACGTTAAATACAATTCTTCTTTGGGAATAGAAGTCTATTATATAAATAATTACATAATATTTATGTACGGTATAAAAATGATGTTAAAAATATTAAAGAAAGTAAGTGAAATTGAATAAAATTTTGTTATATAAATAATTGTTTTCTATAGTAAATCAATATAAATGATAACCAAAAGGCTATATACGTGTTTAAAATATATTAGGTAGAATTGTGTTTTTTATTTTTTTGGAATTTGTTACATGTAATTCAATTTCATTAGAGAAATCGCAGAGAGAAACCCTAAAAGAGAGAACATAATTATATGAGGGTAGAGTAGTCATTAAAAAATTATTTTTTAAACCTAACCACTTACCGTCTTCTGCGATAAGTGATAAGTAACCTTACCCACGCTTAAAATTTTGGCCTCTTTTAAACGGCACTTACCATGTTAAACGGTGTCCTAAAATTTTATCGAACAAACTTATTTTAAAAAATCACTTAACGTGTTCTGCATTCAGCGCTGAATTAAAAAATCAAATAAGCTCTAAATAATTTATGATATCTTTTTGAATATTCAACATTTAACATTCAGTAATAAGTGATGTCTCCGTCTCTTAAAAATTTAGCCATTGGTGAGCTTACGGTTTTCATAAT